TCGAGCCCCGCATCAGCCTCTCTGCTCAGTGGGAAGCCTGCTTCCTCCTCTCTCTCTGCCTGCCTTTCTGTGTACTTGTAATCTCTGTCAAATAAATAAAATCTTAAAAAAAAAATTAATTGGCCATATAATTGTGGGTTTATTTCTAGGTTTGCTGTTCTATTCCATTGATCTATGTGTCCATTTTTATGTCAGTACTGTACTCTTTTAATTATTACTGCTTTGTAATATAACTTAAAATCTGGAATTGTGATACCTCCAGCTTTGTTTTTCTTTTCAAGATTGTTTTGGCTATTCAAGGTCTTTTGTGGTTCCATACAAATTTTAGGATTTTTTTTTCTAGTTCCTTGAAGAATGTTATTGGTATTTTAATAGAAATTAAATTAAATGTGTAGATTGCTTTGGGTAGTATAGACCATTTAAAAAAATATTTTATTTATTTATTTGAGAGAGACAAAGACAGTGAGAGAGAGCATAAGTAGGAAGGAGAGGGAGAAGCAAGCTCCCCACTGAGCAGGGAACCTGACACAGGGCTAGATCCCAGGACCCCAGATCATGACCTGAGCCAAAGGCAGCTGCCTAACTGGCTGAGCCACCCAGGTGCCCCATTATAGACCTTTTAACAGTAATTGTTCTTCCAATCCATGAGCATTTAATGTCTTTCCATTTCTTTGTGTCATCTGGAATTCCTTTCATCAGTGTCTTAAAGTTTTCAGGGCACAGATCTTTCACCTCTTTAGTTACACTTTGTTCCTAAATATTTTGTTGGTTTTGTTGCAATTTTAAGTGGGACTATTTTCTTGATTTCACTTTTTGCTGCTTCATTATTACTGTATAGGAATGCAACAGATTTCTGTACATTAATTTTTGTATCCTGTGACTTTACTGAATCCATTTATCAGTTCCAGTAGTTGTCTTTAGGGTTTTCTATATATAGTATCACGTAATCTGCAAACAGTGAGAGTTTTACCTTTTCCTTACCAATCTGGATGCCTTTTTTCCTCTATGTTATAGTCTAATTGCTGTACCTAGAACTTCCTGTGCTATGGCAAATAAAAATGTTGAGAGTGGACATCCTTAACTTGTTCCTGACCTTAGGGGCAAAGCTCTCAGTTTTTCCCTATTGAGTATGCTGTTGGCTGTGGGTTTTTCATAGAAGGCCTTTATCTTGTTGAGGTCTATTCCTTCCAGACCTACTTTGCAGAGGGTTTTTATCATGAATAGATGTTGTACTTTGTCTAATGTTTTTTCTGCATCTACCAAAACGATCATGTGGTTTTTATTCTTTCTCTTATTAATGTGACATATTGCATTGAATGTTTTGTGAATATTGAACCACACTGTATCCTGGGAATAAATCCCATTTGTTCATGGCATATGGTTTTTTTAATGTATTGTTGAACTTGCTTTGGTAATATTTTGTTAAGGATATTTGCATCTATATTTGTAAGAAATATTGGTCTGTTTTCCCCTTTTTTAAAAAAAAGATTTATTTAAGAAAAAGAGAGAACACAAGCAGGGGGAGGGACACAGGGCAAGGGAGAGAAAATCCTCATGCTGACTCCCCACTGAGTATGAAACACATCACAGGGCCTGATCCCAAGACCTTGAAATCATGACCTGAACTGAAATCAAGAATCGGACACTTAACAGACTGAGCCACCCAGGTGCCTCTGTAGTTCTCTTTTTTGTTGTTGTCTTTATCTGGGTAATACTGGTCTCAAAGAATGAATACGGAAGTTTTCATTCCTCTTGTATTTTTTGGAGTAGTTTGAGAAGAACAGGTATTAACTCTTCTTTAAAGGTTTGGTAGAATTCACCATGAAGCCATCTGGTCCAGGACTTTTGTTTTTTGGGAGCTCTTTGATTACTGAATCAGTTTTATTGCTGGTAATTTGTCTGTTAAATTTTCTATTTCTTCCTACTTTAGTTTTGGTATGTTATATATTTCTAGGAGTTTATCCATTTCTTCTAAGTTGTCTAGTTTGTTGGCACAAAATGTTCATAACATTCTCTTAAAACTGTATTTCTGTAATGTTGGTTGTTCTTTCTCCTCTTTCATTAGTGATTTTGTTTATTTGGGTACTCTCTCTTTTTTGTTTTTTGGAGAGTCTTGCTAGAGGCTTATCAATTTTGGTGATTTTCTATTTTGCCGGGTTTGGGTTTTACTTGTCAATTTATTAAAATCATCTTAATGTAGCCAAATTTTCCCTATTTAAGGTAAGATAGAGTAGGCTGGGCTAAGAAAGTTAAGATATTAACTCTGGTTGTCAGAATTAAAGTCACACCTACTGACAAATCCTGAGTTTCATGACAGAATCCTATGAGGAAGTCTCGTTTTTGTTTTAATATTTATTTATTACTATTATTTAATTATTTTTACTTTTATTATTTTATTATTTTTTATTATCATGTTTAGTATTTATTAATTTTAGAGAGAGTGAGTGAGAGCGTTGGGGGAAGACCCAGAGGGAGAGAGAGAGAGAGAGAATCTCAAGCAGACTCCATGCCCAGTGTGGAGCCCAACTTAAGGCTCGATCCCACAATCACAAGATCATGACCTGAGCCAAAACCAAGAACTAGACGCTTAACTGACTGTGCCATCCAGGTGCCCTGAGTTTCATTTGTTTTAGTGAACCGTACATTCATTATTAACATGAATATTAACAAATGGCAATTCCTGAAAAAGAGTGTGGCTAAATAATGTGACCTATGAATTAGAATAGTTTGGAATAACATTTTATAGATTGATTTTTTGGTTAACACTTTATTCTATACACTTCTTAGTTACAGCTCTTGAAAGTCTTTCCCAAATCTATAGTGTAATTCTTGACTGCATTGAACTGAAATTTTTGGCCAAATCTATCACTTCAATTTCTTGAGTAAAGCAGTATAATAAATCTAATTCATTTATTTCTTAGGTGATTATGAGTTTTAAATAAATCTTAGTGCCAACAGAATAATAATCAACTGCCATTGCAAAATATTGATAATTATATTTGATAGTGAGCCACTATCATAATTATCCCCCTTTTTTAGTCTTTAATACACAAACATATGTTTTTTAAGGGAATTAATAAATTCATAAAAATGACACAAATACTTTTCAATTTCATTTTCTTATAATTCAATTATAATTTTCTAAAATTTTTAAAAGATTATTTACTTATTTATTTGACAGAGAGAGATCACAAGTAGGCAGAGAGGCAAGCAGAGAGAGAGAGGAGGAAGCAGGCTCCCTGCCAAGCAGAGGGCCCGATGCGGGACTCGATCCCAGAACTCTGAGATCATGACCTGAGCCGAAGGCAGAGGCTTAACCCACTGAGCCACCCAGGCACCCCTGTAATTTTTTAACTTATTAAATGATCAGTTCAACAAATACAAATGTACAATTACTATGAGTAAAGCAAAATACTAGGTACTGAGCTATAAGTGAGAAAGATTAACATGGTCTAATGATATAATGGAAAAGTGAAATCTTACATAGATAGCATCTATAGATGTTATCCTGAGGCAGTAGGAAAACCACTGAAAAGCTATATCCAGAAGAGATACTTGCTTAGTCTCTAAATACATCACTATAATATAAGAAAACAAATGGATTACAGAACACAGGAATGGATGCAGAAAATATAGAAGCAGTTTCAGAGACAACACCACATTCCACATAAGGAATAAAACCTTTAGACTAGCATCATGACAGCAGTAGACAGAAGATTTTCTATAGGAACTGGTAGTTTTATTTGATATAGAATAAAGATGAGGTAAGATTAAAAGATGAAACTCTGGTCTGGTCTGAGCAATTGAGTGGATGTCATTTTCTGTCACAGAAAAATGGAATAGGAGCAGGTTCTTGGGTGAACTATGATACAAATTTTGGACTTTTAAAGTGGAGACATTGAGAAGGTAATAATAAGAACAGTCTAGGTTGGAGTCATTTACATATAAATCAAGCCATAGGAAGTAAGAAATAACTTATAAGGAGAGAATAATTGAGAAGAAAAGAAGCTCTGACAAGGGTCAGGTGGAAAATGAGTAATAGGCAAAGGAGTTTTTGATAAAGAATAAACAAAGAAGTACTTAGAGAGTACAGTATCACAGAGAGTCAAAGTAAGAAAGCAAAAAAACTTAAAATGAGAGGTATGGTGAATGGAATCAAGTACTGTAGAGAGATAAAGTAAAATAGAAACTGATGAATATTGGGGCACCTGGGTGGCTCAATAGGTTAAGTGTCTGGTTTCTGCTCAGGTCATGATCCCAGGGTCCTGTGATGGAGCCCCAGAAAGGGTTCCCTGTTGAGTGAGGAGTTTGCTTCTCTCTCTCCCGCTGCCTGCATCTTCATTCTCTCTCTCTGTCAAATAAATAAAATCTTTAAATTAAAAAAAAAAAAAAAGAAAGAAACTGATGAGTGTCAACTGAATTTACTGACATGAAGCTCATTGGTGAACCTATTGAAAGTCAATTTGGAGAAGCAGTGAAAGAAGTTTACAATTATTTAAAGAGTTTTGGGAAGAGGATGAAAGGGTCTAGCCAACCTACAAGATAATTGGTTATGGAAAGGAGAAAAAAATAAGACTATGTCTAGGAATGAGTAACTGCTGATCAAGAAAAGACTTTAGCTAATAGAAGACTTTAACCTGCTAGCATACTAACAGATGATTGAATACAGAGGGAGATGATAAGTGGAGGAAAGCAGATCTTCAGTAGGAAAAGGAGTTTCAAAGGGGAATATTGAGTTTTGAATGATTCATGAAATTCCTGTCATAATTCAGGTAGACTTATTTTTCTCTTATAGGAGTTTCACAAATATAAAGTCAATACTCCCCCAAGAGACTTTAATGTTGTGAGCCTTGATAGAGTTTTAGATTATCCATGAATCTTTTCATTTGCTAAGGAGAAGCTTCAAAACTATTGTTTATATGTATTCATATTTATTTTTTGCAAGTTCTTTAATTTCTAATTAATTGAAGAATTTTTGTTTCTTTTTGTGTTTTCTTTAGGAAAAATCCTCTCCTCTTTTATAATATCATCAGGTAGACATCTGAGCAGAATCAACACTCTCAATTACATAAAATAAACAATGGCATATTATTGGAAAACAGATCTAAATACCAGTGAATCACATCAAGAGCAGGATGAGCACCAAGAATTTCACTCCGTAAATCAGTTCCTTTTTCCTAGCCAAGTCGGTCTGGGTTTTGATCAGCTAGTAGATGAGATCAGTAATAAAATTCCACTCTGTCAGACTGAAATGGAAGAAAACACTGTTTTTGTACCGAGTGCACCAAGCGGGAACTCAAGAAAGTATTCATTAGATGAAACACACCAAATACCTTTGAATGAATTCACTTCTAAAAGCTCAGAACTCTCTTGTCTCCAGGTTAGGAAAATACCTGTAATTGGTTTTAGGAGCTCTGTGCTACAAAAACCTGAAAACACGAACAAAGGAACCTCTTGGGGAAACCCCATAGGAAAATATCATGGTGCTGATTACAGGTTCAATATTTTAGCTTCATCATCTACTAGTCTGGATAAAATTAATTCACAGAGAGAATTAGAAAATGAAAATCACAACTACTACATAGGATTTGAAAGCAGCATCCCTTCTATGTATCCATCCTTCTCACCTGACTTCATGCCAAAAGAAGAGAATAAAAGATGTAGAAATACGGACATTGTGGAACATTCTCTGATGCCTTTTGAAGGGTCTTCTTTACCCAGGACCTGGGAAAATACATGGCCAAAGAATAGAAAGGTATGTATCATATATGTTGACCTAAAAAAAAAAAAAAAAAAAAAAAAAAAGAATCTGAAAGAATCATTCAGTAATGCATTGGATTAATTTGATGATGAGGGTCAGTCATCTTGAACAGGAAAATGTATTAATATTATTTGTGGAAAAATAATTTATTATTCACAAATTCTGCATTCCTAAATTAAGGATTTTTTTCTGAAGAAAGAAATATAAAAATTTTATATCATTTTTAAAGTTCCAGTTTGGTCACAACTAAATAAAATGTTATAGCCCTTACATTTTATTGGATAAAAATATCATAATTGCAGGTTTTCATGAAAGTACTTTTGATTCTTATTGTGTTATTATGCACACACAGAAACATACATACATCTCATAGATTTATATTTTGAGTCATACTGTCATAAATTAAAACTTTATGTCATTATGGTAGGAAAAATGTCCTTTTGCCCAGAGTCTCCTAAATTATACTGTTGGCAGGCATCTTCCACTGGGATTATTCCAAGAGTAGGAAATTATGCAATCATTGTGCAATTCATCTTTATGGTTTCATCAGTAGTTCTCCAATCAATTAAGTCACCATAGCGTTTTTTGTATAATATTTGAGTATTTCTCTGCTTACACTGAGTCTAGACACAAGTGAAACTGGAGGTAAACAGTGGGGAAAAAAAGAAAAGAAAAGAAAAAGAAACATTATTGCAGCTACAATTTCCAGGGTGAAGCAAAAGGATTCCTCATTTATTCAATAACTATCACATTCTTAAAATGAACATGATATACTAGGCATAATGAATGCAAAGAAAAGACATGATACTTGATTTCAAAAATAGCATATTGCTCAAATTAACTTGTCAACAAATAATGTCAACAGAGTAAAATAACAGATAGAATGAGTCCATAGGTGAAGAAATACCTAATTCTGTCTGAAGCATATGCAGAGGAGGTAGCAACTCAACTCATCTGAATTAAAAGTGATTTTAGAGACATCTATTTCTAATCAGGGCAGAATAACAAGCACTAAACTCCTGATTTCAGGCACTGAACAGAAGGCAGTGCAGGACCTGACCCTAGAAGGGAAACACCAATGTGTTGCATGATCATCCTCATTTCTGCTTTGGGGCAGGAAAGGAGAGCCCCATTTGAGCAGCAGTACCACTACTCTTGAGAAGGCAGAGCCTGTGTTCCAGAGCAGAATACATTTCTAGCTATGCAATGGGTGGGAGTCAGAAATTTGCATGGCAGTTGCTGTAGATTTTTGGCCAAGCGATTGTGTTCACTACACACAAGTGTTAAGCTACACAGTGCCGAAGTTCTAACCTAGCAAAAGAAGACACTGAGCTGAGTACTTCAGGCATTCAACTGAGATTACCCAAAGCTATCCCTTAAGAGTATAAAACAATAACTCTAGAGTGGATGCTGCACCTACCAAAATAGAAGTGCCCTAACAAAAAATAAAATAAAGGCTGAAGAGATGAAAGGATCTAACTGCCTACCAGAGAATAATTATATATTTTGAAAACAGGACAACACAATTTACAATGTGTCATCTATGTTGAACATGTAATAATAATAAGTGCACAGATATGTAACAAAGCAAGAAATTTTTGCCCCAAATCAAGAAAATAACCCAGTGATTTTACAAAGAGATTCTGACACAGTCCAGTTGTTGAAATTAACAGAATGAGACTTTAAGGTGATTATAAAAGAATGTTGAACCAGATGAAGTAAAAGATGGACATAATGAGTAGACCAATGAAGAATCTCAAAAGAAAGTTAGAAACTACAAAAAATAAAATAAAATAATGACTATGAAAATCTAGTACTGAAAATATAATACCTGAAATGAAAAATCACCTAGTGATTACAGATCTAAAAAATTCAACAATTCCCAAACAGAATAAATACAAAGACAGTCAGATGTAAGACAAATCATATTCAAACATCTGTGAACAAAATGTAAAGAGAAAATCATAAAAGAGAGCAGCAAGGGAAAACAGATTTCACACAGTGGAACAACAATCTGAAAAGCAAGTTTCTATCAGAAACAATAGAAGCCAGACAACAATGGAGTGACATTTTATTTTATTTTATTTTATTTTATTATTTTTTTAAGATTTTATTTATTTATTTTTTTGACAGACAGAGATCGCAAGCAGGCAGAGAGGCAGGTAGAGAGAGGAGGAAGCAGGCTCTCTGCCGAGAAGACAGCCGGATGCGGGGCTTGAGCCTAGGACCCTGAGATCATGACCTGAGCCGAAGGCAGAGGCTTTCACCCACTGAGCCACCCAGGCTCCCCTGGAGTGACATTTTAAAAGATATATGTCTATACCTATATTTTATATATGTGGTATCTGTAAGTAGATACACACACACATATCTATATACTTTTGTATCCATTGAGTATACATTTCAAAACTTGAAATAGATACATAAACAAATGTTGAGAGAAATTAGCTAACATGCACACAGAAATACTAAAGTGTTTTGGATGCAAGCAAAATTATACCAGATGGAATCTAGAAATGAACAAAGTGGGATGCCTGGATGGCTCAGTCAGTTAAGTGTCTGCCTTTGGCTCAGGGCATGATCCCAGAGTCCTGGGATCAAGTCCTGCATGGGGCTCCTTGCTCAGTGGGGAGCCTGCTTCTCCCTCAGCCCGGTCAGCCTGCCATTCCCCCTGCTTGTGTACTCTCTCTCTAATAAATAAAATCTTAAAAAAAAGAAAAAAGAAATGAACAAAGAGCATTATAAATGGTAAATATATTAGTAACTATGAAAACCGACTTTTAAATTAATTTTGATAGTTGTTTAAACCAAAACAATAGCATTTTATTGAGTTATTTTGTATATATGTCAATAGATGAAAAATATATGACAAGAACAGCATAAAGGATGGAAGGGGTAAATGTTATTTGCTCTTGTGAATTCTTACATTATAAATGCAGTGGTACAGTATTAACTTTAAGTACACTGTGATATGTTAAGGATGCCTATTGTCATTTCTAAGCTAAGACAGCCACTGGAAAAATAATACTGAGAAGGAAAACCAAAAATCCAACAAAGGAATTACATGAAATGAGAAAAAACAAACAAAAAACAGGGAAGGAAAAATAGAAGGATAAAATAGAATAGAAACAAATAGAAACAAAAATGAGTATGGCAGTCTCAAATCCAACAATATCCATAAGTATACTAAATATAAATAAACATTTCAAGTAAAAAGGGGAAATTGACAAACTAGATAAAAAAAAGAAAGATTTAACTACTATCTACAAGAGACAAACTCAAGAAAGGCAAAAATAAGTTGAAAGTAAAAGAAATAAAAAGATATAATATTCAATCAGCAAACAAAAATCTGATTATTAACAGCAGAAGAAGTACAGTTCAAAGCAGAGTATTATTAGTATTAGTATTATTATCATTTCATAATGATGACATGGTCAATCAGGAAGATACAATAAATTTAAACATGTTATGTACCCAATAATAGCTTCAATGCACACAAAGCAAAAATTACTTCTTTTAAAGTTAATCATACACCCACTTCTGAGCCATTTATGGATTTGTTATGCCCCAGTTTTCGCGTCTGAGAGACCACCAAGGAGCCAAGCACTGATGCAATCACACACACGAGAGTTTTTTGACAAGCTTAAGCTTGGGCCCAAGTATAACCAGCACAGCGGAGTAGGGACTTGGACCCTGAGTTTAGTTAAGGCAGGGGTATTTATGGCTTCCTGTTACTAAAGCAAGGTGAGGATTCCTGGAACCAAAGCAGGGTGGGGCTCACTAAAGCAGGGTGGGGCTTATTAAAGCAGGGTGGGGGTCTCTGAACTAAAGCAGGGTGGGGCTTACTAAAGCAAAGTAGGGGAAAGTTCAGCCCTTGGGCATAGGAGTCTGAGATGGCTGCCAGAGCTAAGATGGTTGTACTTATGCTAAAGCTAAACCTGAGGTGGGACGGCCTTAATTTTCTTGGCCTCCACAGATTTATTCATAAGTAAAACATAGCTCCATACAAATATTCGTATATGAAAATTAATAGTTTTCTTTATAAAAACTACAAACTACCCAAATACCCATCCACAGGAAGATGGATAAACAAATTGTGAAATCGTCATCAATAGAACAGTATTCACTGGCAATAAAAAATGAATTATTGATGTGCAGTAACACAGATGAATTTAAAAATACCTATCATTTAAGTGAAAGAAACCAGAAAGAAAGGGCACATATACTTCAACTATGATGTTAGCCATCTGAATAACCGTAGTTACCAAATGGATGTACAGTTTGACAGAAGGACGTTTGAGGGCAGTTTCTAATGTGATGGAGATGTTCTGTATTTTTATTGTGATATTGATACTATGGTTGTCTACATTCCTCAAACTTAAATTACATATTTAAGATTTATACATTTTCTATATACATTACTTCACTTTAAAAAAATCCAAAAAATAAAAATTAAAAAAAGAATGAATTGAAGGAATGCAGGATGAGATGCCCCAAATTGTGCCTCTTTGGCATAAAGATTATTTCAAGTTAAAAGTAATAAATACCCAGCAGATACTGGAAAAACTCCCCACTTCCTCAGTAACTGCTTGAATTTAGGTAGGAAAGGAGGCCCTGTAACAGGAAGGGAACTAATAACAGAGACTCTCCTTTACCTAAGGAATTTACCCACATAATGGGGCAACCTTTCTTTTCAAACATCTTTCCCCTTCTTGCTAATGGCTTTCCTTCCCTTTGTGTCCTCGGGCCCTTCCCCCTCTCCCTAGCTCTAATAAGCCTCCAGTTGCCTCATTGTTTTTGTAATCTCCTGTCTGTGTGGAGGCCCCATACACAGGCCTGTGAAATTTGATTTTCTCCTGTTAGTCTGTCTCCTGTCAATCTGATTTTAACTCCAGCTAGAAGGACCGTAGGGCAGAGGAAGGCCTTCCTTCCTTGACAGAATCTTTAAAACAAAATTAAAATTGTAGATTGTATTAACGTTTTCTCCACACCAACTATATTAATTTAACAGTTTTTGTTTTAAGCTGACAGGTTATTCTCTTCAGCTAGTCGAAGTACCTCAAGGCAGTAATAAGACTCTGGCCTCCTTCTGTGACAAAGTGAAAAAGTGAGTGTTGCTACTTCATTAAACTTTGAAATTTCTCTATTTTAATAAATTTGTCTATTTTAATTTAACATCACTGAACGATTAATTTTGAATCTAAAATGTTAAAGATTTTTTTTTTTTTTAGAATTTTTAACATAATGAAAAATATAAATTTGTGAACAAATTAGTTCATTAACTTCTGGCATTGTTTTTGTTGTTTTTAGTCAAATAATTTTATTCTCTTAAAAGTTCAGTTAAAGCTAAATGTTTCATAATTTCAGACCTGCCCTTGCTATTTGTTGATTATTTAGTTTGCAGTGAATTAATTTCTCATTTAATGACATAACTGATTGACTTCTCTGGTCATGTCACAAAATAGCATAGATTTATCCTTCTTACCTGGGATATACTATTTTAAATGGTGAGAGTGCCCTCCTCTTAATAATTTAATCTTACCTTGAATGAACTGCCAAAATAAATGAGCAAGTGCATGGGTGTTTGTCCACTGAAAAACAATCTGTTCACTAGGGGATATTATAAAAACATCACTGATCCTCTTTTTGCTCATTTAAAATGAACTTATAATTATAGATGCCTTTTTTCAAGACTAATTTCTCATTTGCAGTTAAAATTTATATAATGCCATCTCTTCTATTGCTAAGGTTCCCAAATGTTTTGAAAAATTAATGCATTTACATTTTGTTCTCTTGATTTCTATTTACAGTTGTTTAAAAAATAATAAATATACATATAAATGAACTATAACTTATTTATCAACTATAGCAGCTTACTACTAAATCATTTGGGATTAATCATTAATTTAAAAGGCTATTTGAAAGCCTAATAGTCCATGTATGAGAGATATTTAAATGTAGAACAGAAAAGCAAGGTCTCTGCCTTAAAAAAACTTGTAACCCTATTGGAAGAATTGAAAGGCACACAGATAAAAAACAAAAAATGAAAAACAAAACCAAGCAACTCAAATCCATGAAAATTTTTAATTTTTAATTAATGTCTCACTCTTATTCACAGAAAAAAACTAAAATGACTCTTTGGACTTCTAAATTAGGATCTTTAAAGTTATCAATATTGATTCTTTAGAGAATAAACTATTCACTGTCCCAAACTGACAAGCATTGGCAGGAATTTGACACTTTAAATATGTGATGTGATCATTTCTACCCTCTAAGCTTGAGGAATAGCTCTCTTAATATCACAAGATATCATTGAGTATAAATCCACTGACAAAACACTTATGATTTTTCCCATTAATTTTTTTAACACAATGTAATATTCTTAGATGAAATCTTCTTGTGGATGCAGTAGTGCTAGAAAATGTTTTATGTAATGGTTTGTCAGTAGCTCATAGTGCATTTCCTGAATTCTTAAATGTAATTTTGCTCAATGGCTCCTTTCAAAGTAACCATGAAAATTAAAACAGACAACCAAACAAGAATAAACTTTATAGAGTAGTGAAAGGAAAATATAGGTTAATATTCACACACACTTATCTTGGTTTTCAGTAGTCTTCTTTGATGTATACTCACATATAAAATAATTAAATTTATAGATGCAATAAATATTTTGTAAACAAACACACTATTCATTCAACAGCAACTATTTTTGGAGGATCTATGTACTAGGTAACGTCCAAGGCTCTTTATTCAAAAGATCAAACTGAGTTTGAAAGCCAAATTTCCTAAAAGGATCAGAACAGAATGGATTTATGTATCTGGTTTCATCTGTTTTTTTTTTTTGTCTAATATTTAAATAACCATACCTATAAGTGTTATTGATATTCCTATTATACACCCTTTAAAGAAGCCGTCTAATTTGTTGGATTTGGTTTCTTGCTGTGATACATTTTTAAGCCACATCTTTCAAGGAATGTGTCATATTTTTGCAAAAAAAAAAAATACAATAAAATGGCATAGCTTATTAAAAGTTTTGAACACAGTAGACACTCAACAAAGTTTTAGGAGAGAATAGGTCATTAATGTGCATTTTAGATTTAATTTCCCAAAACAGCAGAATTCTTAAATCATGTATGCATAGAGTAGTATCCTATCACATGGTGAATGCTTACTCATAAAGCCCCTCAACCAGAACTGGAGTCTAGACCTTTACCTTAGGTGTAACAAAGGAGAGTGGCCCATATCTTTATCCTAAACAATGGGTTCTCAACCTGGAGTTTCAGAGTAGCAGCAGTAATGGCTGATGTAAAGATTCCTCCACAGATCTATTGAATCAGCAAGGATGAGGATGGGACTCAGAAAATAAGGATCCTGATGCATGCCATGAATTTTTTCATTTGTCAGGCCCCTCAAGGAGGGGATGTTTCTGTACAGTTTAAAGGCACAGAGATTAAGCTACTTTAGTGAGCATGACACTACTTTAATGCCGCACAAATAGAATGAATGCCAAGGATATAATTCATGTTGATACATTACATAGAATGCATAGTATACCTTCTATACACAGAACATATAACTTTCTTTGTGGGAATAGCACTACAAAATTTAGATGTTTGCATAATTAATAACAATAACAACCCCCCATGATTTCATATTCATCATCAAAGGTATTTTAAATACCTAAGTTGCAAATAATGTTATGTTATATTCTATGTGTGGGCAATAACATGGATCAACAAGGATTCAACTATAATACTATATAATGATAATTATACATCATATGGGTGGGTATATGCTTTTACAAAAATCTTCTGCATGCTTTTTCACTTTTAATCCTTGCAATAAACCTTTGAATTAGATATATATATCCTCATTTGTACAAATAAAGAAACTGGTCAAATAACTTGCCTCTGACCGTAAAACTACTAAATGGAAGAGTCAAGATTCAAGCTCAAGGCTTCTGGCTCCAAGGATAAACTATTTTGCAATTCTCTGACTCATCTGAGCAGTAAAGAATTGTTCAGTGTGTACAAATGACTTCTGGGCTAAATTGCTTATGTAAAATCCAGAGATTTGTGTAAAATCCAAAAATTTACAGCCAAGAATGGTATTTATCAATTGGGCACAGATAATTTATTTTTAAAAAATCCTTAAATCAAAATGAGTGACTTCTAGCTTGAGAACGTTATTGAAAACCAAGGAGAGGCATTCAGGCTTCTGAAGTAATGTGAATGAAGGAAGTAATCATTGTTCAGAGTGAATTTTCATGCCTAATGAATGACAATGTATTCTTAATTGCTTCAAATGAGATGCTCCTGGGGAAATCTAAAGAATGGTCCTTTACAGTTGTTTTGGTATAATTGCAATCTTTACCAATCTGGCCTTGCTAAGAGCACTACAGCACAAATCAACTGCTGATTGTTTTCATATTTTAAATATTCTATAGCAATACTGTGCATAAAGTTTCTTATAATCATCTCCTAAGTATTATTTTCCATATATTTTTCAGAATAAGAGAAACATACCATGCAGCTGACATTAATTCCAACTCAGGGAAGATCTGGAGCACGACTACAGCATTTCCCTATCAGCTTTTTTCTAATACTAAGTTTAATATAAGTATTTGTATTGATAACTCAACACAAGTACTTCATTTTATGCCATATGGTAAGCAACCTTGCAAATAAGTATAAAAATGCCCATAAAGCTGGTATAGGCTGCATAGCCTTGAGTCCACAGATTGAAAGCATTAAAAGAAGCATTATTAAATGCTAGTATTTTGCCCTGAAGTAGAGTTAAGAGGAAAACAGCTGGAAACCTTTTGTTAACGTTTGTTTAGCTATTGTTTTTAAGGACCCTCTGCACATGGCTCACACCCCAGGACACTTTACTTTCCTGCTATAAAATAGTTGATGGCAAGTATAACAAATTTTTAACATATTAAAAACAAAACCTAAATTTCAAAAAGATTATAGATAAAGCATATGAATGAATTTGAATGAATATATATATGAAAATGGAAATATTACCCATTAGAAACAACTATGCCATTCAAATGTGAATAAATTATGACATAAAACAGGCACCAATACATAGTCTTTATTCCCACTGTACAAACTATAGGAGCCTTCTGCATAATGAGCAGATAGATCCTTTGAATCAGTCTCTGGGGATGGATCCTGGAATCTGGAAAACGCATGTTATCAAACTCATCAGATGATTCTTATTTTTACTATAGTTTTAGAATCCCTTTAAAGTTGTTTAATATTTTATTTCACTGTTATTGTCAACTATTTTGTAAAACAATAATAGTTCTTCAAACATTAGTTGCTACTAAATGAGTTTCTGCATATGAATTGTTTTTTCTTGACAAATAATGATCCAACAAATATTTTCTTTCATCGATTGTTATTAATATAATTACTATTTTGTTTTTTTTTCTTTCTTACTCTAGTCAAGATTCTGAGTTAGTACAGATGGCTACAACCATAACAAAGTTATGCTGGAATATTTAGTTAGGACCATCTGGTTTGAAACTAACAAAAACCAACTCCCGCTGCCTTAAGAAGAAAAAACATTCTTAAGGAATATAGAAATTTCTTACAGAATTTAAGAGTAAGAACTCAGCAGATTCAGGAATGTACTAAAGGCACAGATGAATAAGCAGTCCAAAATTCCTGTATCTATCTCACCTCATCTCTTCAATATTACTGCTTCTCCGATTTCCCTTGTTTTTGCTGACTCATTTCCCTTGCTTTTCCAGAACACATGGAAAGCCAAGCTCTCAAGCTTAAATGCTATTTGGCCAGCTACCTAAAGAAAATTCAATCTCTCTATTAGATCTAATTCCAAATTTCTAAAAGCAGGATTCTGATTGCCCAGCCAAAATCAGTGGTGTTAAACCCTGAGCCAATCACAGTCTATGTCATCTTGACCTCAGTTGCTGGAGAAGAGCGAAAAACTGTGAACTAGGGAGACCACTTCTCTTCTTCCAGTTTACAATATTTAATTTCCAGCATATCTCTGTCTCAATCTCTCTCTCTCTCTCTCTCTCTCTCTCTGGATATTCTTTTGTTGAATGTGGCAAGTTGGAGGTCATACTTTTACAAGAAGTTTCAGGAAAGTGATTAGGTAATTGTGTCAGTGTTAGAGATGTATAGTAGTAAAGAGGATGTCTGTACTGTCAGTGATATTAAAAATGTTTGTAAGAAGGAGGAAGGGGAGGTGGAGTAAGGGGTGAAGTATAGAGGAAGAAGGAGGACAAAGCAGAGGAGAAAGGACACATTCATGAAAAAACAAAGCAGCATATGCCACTGTTGGGAGGAAAACCTTTCCTCTATCCACTTGTATTTGAAGGGGGTGGAAGTGGTGGCTGTGAATTAGCTGACAATAGACATATTAGTAGGAGAAAGTGCAAAGTTATCTACACATGCATACAGGGATTACTTGCTGAATACCCAGAGGTAAAGGTTTATATACCAATTTAATGTAAAAGTGTGTATGTGTGTGTACAGCATGTGTCATTTGGAGCTTCACTAGGAAAACAGGAACTATATATATGTATTTCTGCTAATGGATAGGCAGTCTGTCTCCTTCCTGGAATTTGCAGGAAATTCCCTCAGAAGAAAGTTAATGGAAGCTCTATTTTAGGGAGTCTCTGCTTTAGTATACGAAGTTCAGATAAGATTTCAAACGTTTTCACTTTGAATTAATCTTTATGCCAAAACTGTAATCCTTTCACACTTATTGTTCTACTAGTAAATACAGATGTGCTATAAAGAACAAAATCGTGTATCTTAAGAGTATATCAAGAATGACTTCAATAAAAGGTAGAAGCTGTTCCTAGAAACTTAGGGAATAATGAAAGTTAGATAAATAAAGAGGAGATTGGTGAGGTTATATAAGGCATTTTCATCCAAAGAGAATACTGTTTCCTGAAGAGTGAAGAAATGGAATCCTTTAGAGAAGTAGGTGTTTTGAGCAAAGAATTCTGTGTTCCATAATCTTCAATTAACACTTCAATGAAGATGATTCCCTTGTCCGTATTTCCAAGAACAGAATTACTCTAGAGTGTCTTTCCTTTCAGATTTAGATGATTCATGGTTAGAACTGTGTTAGGAGGCCATTTGTGACCTGCAAAGTGTTGGATGTAGAAGTTTGCAAAGATTAAAGAGTGATTGAGAAGGGTTTGCAGAAGTTATCTACTTTTTAAAGAAGTCTGGCAGTAATGGGAAGGCTAAAAAAATACTATCTTGATGGAATGAAATGGATGATGAGAGATTTTATGAGAAGATTAAACAAACAAACATTTTAAGAAAAAACAAAACCACGTAGTAGTGGAGGATATTGAATATATAAAAGAGGGGATTTAATTGATGGAAATGGAAGTTAGTACAGGAAAAGTAAGAGATTAAGAAGTAAGAGATAGTAAAAAGCAATGATACTTATATCTTAAAAGGAGGGTAAAGAGGTAGAGGGTGATGTGCAAAAAATTAGATTTAATACACAGGGTACCTAATGAAAGATTCTCAAATGGGCATTCTCCTCTTCAATATGGTAGGCAATAGGGTCAACAGATTGAGAAGGACTGCATGAAGTGGAAGAATAAAATAAACTGGGAAAAGTATTACATTAGCTGCCAAAGTGAAGGTACAAGTATTAAATCTACTTAAAAGAAGCCAGAGTACTTGTTGGCTTACACTATGCAAGAGAAGTTTAATTTACAGATACTTAATGGCTGACTTCAAGGACAAAGATGATAATTTGAGGTTTAGATAGGTCTAATTTAAATAATGAAACATTCAAAGTGTAACATGAAACAAATAGTAGGAGATAAGTAATAGTAGAAATGGATTATGGAGTCTACCACATAGAGTGAAGAGAAGGTAGTAGTGAAATAATGAGTTCATGCATGCCCCGTATAGCACGGGATGCAGTCTGGAAACAGGAGAGCCAAATTAATTAAAATGAACTGGTGTCTCTGGAGATATTTTCCTGCATCATATACAGCAATATTCTCCCCTCCTTGTCAGTCCTTACAGTCATGATTTTCGTATTTTTCCATATTTTCTTCTAGATTCCATCATAGCATTTCAATCATTATTTCCAAGCAACAGAGTGTTTAAGATACTCTTTACCATGTTAAAGCATTTCCACAATCTCTAATTCCATGATGATCTTTACCATTTGTTTTTCTGATAATTTCTTAGAAAATACCTTGAACCACCATGAAACCCACATTTAAAATCCAGCATTATCCGCCCCCCCACCCCGACTTCTTTGTGGCTGGTCCAGCTATGTCAGTTGCACTACATTTTGTTAGCCAGTTTGTGTTAAAAACCTTTTCCTCCAAACAAAAAGCTATGGAAGAAAAACAAGCTACAGCAAAGTAAACAAATAATTGCAAACTAAACACAACTCGGATGAATACAATTGAGTGTTTGCAGTATGCTGTTCAAATTCCCACTGGGTAGGGGTCATTAGTACAAGTCTGTTTGCACTTGCTTCATTGATAGAGACCATGAGATCACCCTCAAAGCATGGAGATATATATATATATATGTGTGTGTGTGTGTGTGTGTGTGTGTATAAATAATTTTTAACTGTTATTCATGGTAATAAATGAGCCTTGTACTATTTGTCATTTATAATTAGGAAAATATTTCATAGGCAAATATAACTTGTAACAAGTCAGTATGGTTCTGGCCACTATTAAATGGCATGTATGTGTAAGAGTTTAGTGGGGAGATTATGGAACATAAAGACAAAGGACTTTACATCTTGAGCTTCAGAGAAGGTAGAGGAAAAAAACACATGTTCATCAAAGTTATTATAAGGCTGTCCACGATGGAAACTTGAGTAATTCCCACATGGGAAGGGAAGAACAGTAAGTTGTGGAGACTCAGAATCATTAAGAATACAGGCTTTGGAATCTGACAGGTTAGACACTCCCCGCATCTCCTAAGTCTCTATGAGTAACCACAGTAGAATACTTATTTTTTAAAGATTTTATTATTTATTTGAGAGAGAGATAGGTAGAGAGAGAGAGAATATACATGAGTGGGGGAGGGGCAATGGGACAAGCAGGCTCCCTGCTGAGCAAGGAGCCCAATGCAGGGATTGATCTCAGGACCCAAGAGATCACCACCTGAGCTGAAGTCAGACCTTTAACAGATTGAGCCACCCAACTGCCCTCACAGTAGAATACTTTCTATGCAGAGCCACAATGTATTAAGGTTTTAACATAAGGAATATAATACCTAGGTCTGTCAGTAATATGAAGACAGACTGATTAAAGAAAATGCAAACAACTGTTTTTCAAAAGTATCTCCAAATTTAACCAGACTAATAAAAGAGATGCATCTCATTTTCATACTGCTTGATGGAGCTAGACAGTTACAATAGTTCAAAATATATGTATCTTTTTTTTGGTGCTCAGAACCTTTTTCTCAGCCAATATATGATAAGCTCTTATTAACTTTTTAATTATTCATTTTTGTTTTTAGCTAATTATCTTGTCAAAGACCTAATTGCAGAGATTCTACATTTTTGTACAAATGACCAGTTATTCCCCAAAGATCATCTTCTAAGTATATGTGGCTATGAAGAATTTTTGCAGAAGTAAGTATCTTATTAAGGTAAAATTTGATCATTGTTATAACCTATGCTAAGGCACACTTCATTTTTTTCTTTTAAACATACTTTGTACAAACACTATACTCTTATAACCAACATAATTACATCAACTTTGCCCGTGAATTCAAAATTTTATAACTCATAGCAATAGTCTCATTCTTAGTTTTATTTTGTATTTTGTGTATTTATGGCAACATGTTTTTAAGTGACCCGTGACCAGGAGGGTGATATTCTTAGGACATGGAAATTTCAGTTTTGCAACCAAGAAAGTCCCGGGCCAAACAAGTCACTGTAGTAAAGCTTATTAGAACTGATCACAATTTTTTAAAAGTAACAAATTATTTTGCAGTGAGTAATTTTTGATTTGAAATAATATTAGTATGCTGATTAAATAGTGATTTTTAAAAATCACAGAGGGTTTGCGTATGAGCACTATAACATTTTCATACAAGATTAACCTTCATTGCTTTAGTCAGGCAGCTCTTATAACAACTGAAGTCTGTTCTTAGGTAGGTCAATTGCAAATACTTATTTGATAGAAAACTCACCTTCTCTTATTATATCACAATTAGGACTATTCTGAAATTCATTAAAGATCAACCTTGAAAATATAATATAATTTTAAGAAAGGAGATATTTCTCTGCTTGTACTGCAGTTATTCTAGATAGTAAAGTAATAAGCTAAAGTAGTCGATAAAGTGGATTGTCATTTACATTTTTCCTTTGTGCTTCCACAAGTGTCTAAAGAATGACAGTAGTCTCATGAAGTAAAAGTGTATTTCTTTTCAGATATTCATTGTCACTGTCATTATTATTCCATTATAAATGTAGATAAAAATTTGATGAATTTAACAATATTATCAGCAAATCCAGACCTTCACTGTGCAATGTTAACTGTGAGTGGCTTTTAAGACTGATTATTTCCTTTTTTGTAATTCCAGTTATAACAAAATAATAATAAAGATTTATATGAAATCACAGATGTTTTGTTGTATTGAACTCACAGATACTCCCCTTCTCTCTGTTTGAACCTATTAACATACCCAATGACTAGGCTGCTACCGTCTTCCAACATATGGTTTTTGAGAGTATATCCAAAGAGCAAGGAGAAATACTTGAGAAATGTAACCTTATACTGAATGCTCTTTAAAATTCGTCCTCTGAAATTATGTCTCCAAACGTACAGCTGGACTTTGGCTAATGTCAAACATTAAATACAAAGAATAAGAAACATTATCAAATTTATGTATCTAGTATTATCAGTAGGAAGCATCATCCCATAAGCAAAAGTGTTAAAGAGACAGAAATTTGTAAGAGTATAATGTGAACAAATTTATAATGGACCTTGTCTTACTTGCTGTTTCAAATGTGTAAGTCATCCATAATTAGCTCAATTGTTGAAATGTGTATCTCATTTTGCTTTTTTTTTGTTAATATGAACATAATAGTTTTCTAAAATATTTCACAGTAATTCGTTTCTAACAAAATATCATTTACCTGGGTTTCTATTAAGATAGTAAAGTTACAAGTATTAGTATAAATTAATTACACTCATTTTTCCCTACTGGAATCTGAAAGACATGTATATGTCAGGGATTTACTTACTATTTAAGGTTAACATCCTACCTGTTTGGAATGATTCTTTAAAATAAGCAAAAAATTCACTATCATTCTTTCTAACATCTAAATCATTTAGATTTTTTGTTTGTTTACTTGTAACTGTCTAAAAATATATGTCCTAGGGACCCCTGGGTGATTCAGCTGGTTAAGTGTCTGACTCTTGATTTTGCCTTAGGTCATGATCTCAGTGTTGTTAGATAGAGCCCTACATTGGGCTGCACACTGGGTGTGAAGCCTGCTTAACATTCTCTCTCTCTCCTTTGTCCATCCTCCCCCACTCTCTCTCTCAAAAAAAAAAAAAAGATAGTAATAATAACAATAATAATAATAAAAAGCAAAAATGTCCTTAAATACTTGGAAATCTTTATAACGTTCTCTGGAGGGAACACAGGTAACACATAATAAAGTTAATAATGTAATAATTTAGATGCTAACAGTTGTAGTACTACACTTCATCTGGAGTATTTGACTAGCTTTGATTGTAATAATAATAACCATTTAGCAAATGCTCATTATTTGGTTACCTCATATTGGGTAGACTCCTAAGTCTTATGACATTATCAATATGATAGATACTGTAATTACCCCTGTTTTACAGACAGGAAGTCTGAGGCTTTGCTTAAGATCACACAGCTAGGAAGGTGGGAGAATGAAGCTGAATTCAAACCTAGGTTTGGCTGCTTGCCCTGGTTATGAACTACAAAACAACAGTGCAAAACCTCTTGAAGGATATACAAGAAATAGCAAATAGGTTCTTCATGCTGGAGTACTGGTGAAAAATATATGTAGTTTCTTTAGTCTGCAGGAATGGGGTATAGAGATTGTATTAGTCAACTCCTATTGAAAACCACACACATATAAGACATTTGGCTGATCATTGAGAATACAAAGATAAGTTATACATAACCTTTGCCCTCTCCCTCGCCTAAAAATTCATAAAGTCCTATAATCACTTCTTATAATGCCCTATCATGTGGGCAGTATTAGCATTATTATATACCTAATGCTTGTAGATCACAGAGGGACTGACGGCAAGAGTATGGAAAAAGTGCAAAGAAAAGTCAATAATAAACTTGTATTTAAAGTATAAATACTGAGGAAACGGGGTGCCTGGTTGGCTCAGTGGGGCTCAGGTCATGGTCCTGGGGTCCTGGGACGGAGCCCCACGTCAGTCTCTCTGCTCAGCAGGGAGCCTGCTTCCTCCTCTCTCTCTGCCTGCTTCTCTGCCTACTTGTGATCTCTGTCTGTCAAATAAACAAATAAAATCTTTTAAAAATAAATAAATAAAAATAAATACTGAGGAAAAAAAAAACAGTACTATGTGATAAAATGTTAATGGCCTTAAAATATATAAAATACACTTAAATTTTGATTTAAAAAATAATTATTAAGGAAAAACAGCCTAGGAATGTGAATAGCATGGGGAAGCCTGGGTGGTTCAGTCAGTTAAGTGTTTGCCTTCAGCTCAGGTCATGATCCCAGGGTCCCGGGATCCAGCCCCACATCACGCTCCCTGCTCATCGGAGAGCCTGCTTCTCCCTCCCCCTCTGCTACTGCCCCTACTTGTGCTCTCGCTCTGTCAAATAAGTGAATAAAATCTTAAAAAAAAAAAAAAAAAGAATGTGACTAGCTTGAATAGAAATTCAATGGACAAGAAATTAAAGAATTTAATCTAATAAAATCCAATTAAAACAATGAGATAACACTTTTTCCCCATCAGATTCTTAAATTACTTATGATGAAATTCAGTTGGAAATGGGACAATATGTAAACATCTGCTAGAAATATAAACTGATATAGCACTAACTGAAGATAATTTTGTCAAGCATATTAAAGGTCTGTAAAAATGTGTCTAAAACTGATAGATCATCTGTGTTTCAGCAATTCTGCTTCAGTGAATATTTCTAAGTAATAATCACAATAATTCAAAAAGACTTAGTTATAAAGGATATTTACCATAACATAATTTCTAGTGTTAACAACATAACAAGAACAAAAACTGGGAAAAAAACTAAATCTCCAGTAGTGCTCCAGAATAGGGATAAGATAAGTCATGAACATAATTTTATTATAATATGACATAGAATTTATAAATTATTAAAAATACAGAATTATATGTCTTGGAATAAAACATGCATCATAGTTTTTAAGGATGAAAATATATCTTTTCAAATCATGTTTAAATATATTAATTTTTGTTAAAACAAGTATGTTTCTATTCAGATAATAAGAAGAAATCACTTGAGAGGTAGAGTGAGAGAGAGAGGGAGGGAGAGAGAGTGGCGTGGGCTGCTAAAGCATGGGCCCATGGGAGAGGGGCAGCAGGAGAGGGAGAGGTAGAATCCCCGCTGAGCAGGGAAACCTAACAAAAATGGGGGCTCTATTCCAAGACTCCGGGATCAGGGATCCTGACCTCAGCTGAGGGCAGACACTCAAGTGACAGAGCCATTTAGGCGCCCTAAGAAATCTTATATACTAAAATGTTAAAGTAGTTACTTCCACCTTGTAAAGGAACTATAATACAAATGATATTTATTTAGTTCATTTTCAATTTATAAAACTTCTGTGATTAAACCTGCCTTTTTTGCTATCAAGAGATTAAGGAAATAAGTAATTTCTCATGGAGATGAAAATAATAACAGTAAAACAACAGCAAAATTTACTTTACTTATTAAAAGTCTTTAATGGACTAGAATTTTCACATGCAGTACCATTCATTCTCATATAAGAGAAGCATGATTATTTATTTCCATTTTACAGATGGGAAAATTGAGGCTAAGAGAAAATGATGACTTCCTAAAAGTTATAAAATTTGGAAGCAGCAAAATCAGGATAGCACAGGTTTATCTGGCTCTGAAGCCCAAATCTTTCTAATGTATAACAAAGACTCCTCCATAATAAAGGGCCACTTGAAAATAAAAACTGTAGGGATAATGTTTCATTGGGGATAATGACCATTTACTTGGGCTGATAAACATGGTGTATAATTGAGCATATAGCATTTAGGTCAAACACAAGGAAAACATAACTTGTAGAACATTCATTTTCTGACATACTTAAATTTTTAAAAATCTTTAACCAGAAAACTTTTAGAAGTGATTTGACTAAAGCAAAGGTAAATTATAATCATTAAAGGTGGGCTTGTTAAATATCTGATTTGGTAAAAATTTCCTTTTTGGAATTTTGAGACTCTTTAAGCAAATAAATATTATCAAAACAAATTCTACCCACTATTGATAATGCTACTTATCACTGGTGCTTTGGCAAAATGAGTTTAACTTCCTTTAACTTCAATTTCTTCATCCTTTAAAAAATTTTATTTATTTATTTTTTAAGAGTTTACTTTTCTATTTGAGAGAGTGAGA